CTGGACCCCTGAGCTGGCATCCCCAGGGACGCTGGCAACCCCCAAAGTTGGCATCCCTGCTGTGCTAGCTTCCCTGGGGACCCCTGGGGCCAGCGTCCCTGGGGGCCCTTGAGCTGGGGTCCTGCCTACCCCCATAGTGATGCACCCCCAAGGGCAAGAGCTGCTGCAGGCAGGCTGAGAACTGCTGTTATCAGCACATGTTTGCCAGTGGGCAGCCTGGCAGCAGGAGGACATGGGGACAAGGGTACCAGCATCTGCAAGGGGGCTCAGCCAGGTCCTCAAAGCCCCAGGTGGGGCAGCTGCCCCCGTCCGCCTGCGGGGCCAGAAGCCTGCCCAGCCCCGGTCCCACGTGCAGTCGAGCACCCCAGAGCGGCTGGGAAGGCCAGTTGGAGGTCCCAGTGGCAGCTTTGCCCAGCACCTGCCCGGCTCTCACCCCCTGTGCTGCTGGGTGGGGATGCGGGCAGAGCATGGGGGGGACCTATTCCCAACCAGAGCTCCCATGCCCGCCCCCCACAGCCCCGGGCTCTGTTCAGGGAGGAAAGCCTGATCCCAAGGGGATGTGAGGAGCAGGGATTGGAAGTTCAGCCTGGTTTAATCCCACCCAGGGACTTATTCAGCACTGACGATTATCAAAAATAGTAGTGGCTTAATGGCACTAAATCCCTGCCATGGGCTGCACAGCTGGAGACAAAGCCCCGGCGTCTGCCCAGGGGAAGGCGTGCAGGCAGCGTGGGCAGGAGGCACTCACGTGGTCTTCTCCTCCAGGTTGAGGAAGGTCTGGATGACAAGAGGCACTTCGGATTTGACAATGTACAGGTAGCTGGACATGGCTGCGGGGCAAAGCGAGGTCATGCTGTGCCAGCGTGCTCTGGTCCTGTGTCCTCCCCACAGCCCTGCCAGGTCCCCCCCAGCCCCGTCCTCACCTCCGATGTTCTGCAGTGTGATGGCGATGGCCGCGGCCAGCTTGCCCGGCGTGCCAAAGGCTCGGTAGCCCAGCTGCTCGTAGGCGCGGATGCCTGCAGGACAGGGAGCGGGGGTTGGGTGAGGGTCGGGAGGGGACCCCCCGGCATGGCCTCACTGGGGACCCGGCACTCACCCACGATGCCGGAGGACTTGAGCAGCAGGTGGATGGAGTAGCTGGAGAGCAGCGCCACTGCCGTCAGGAGGAAGCTGTGGGAGGACAGCGCCGTCACCAGCGGGTCACAGCACGGGGCTCGGACACAGCCGTGGGGCAAACCCCACGTGGGCAGGCTCTGCCTGCGGGCAGCCGTCCTGGCAGGCCACCCAGCCCCTTGCCTCGGCACTGGCTGGGGGGTCACCCGGGGGGGCGGGCGCGGGGGATGGGCACC